GAGCAGTCAGTTGTATTCCTTATTAGTGGCTTTGATAAGAGGCTTTGGGGGAAGAGGTTGAAACTAACAGCTATAACGAAGTTTTGGGTTCTCTAAAGATTTCATTTATCTGTGCTATTGGTCTCCCCATTAAATGCATGTCTATTCTGTGTACCTTTGCACATGGTTTGCATAACATGTAATATCTGTTACTGAAACCTTGCAAACTTCTTAAATTGTATAGAAAAGGCTGTGAAACTTACTCTTAGGGAACATAAAAATACAGAGAACAAACATCATAACTCCAAATATTGAGTTATACAGAGTTGTGAAAAAAAAATAACACAGTAAAACAAAGTTAGTTACTAGAGTAGAAAAGATATAGTTTTAATATGTATTGATATCTGTCTTTTTTGCCCTCCCTCAATTTAGTAAAGATGCACTAGGTGTTAAGAATATTCTTCTTATCATACAGTGTATTTTAATCTAGCATTTTAGAAAACGTTTTATAAATTCGTAGATAAAAGTCCTGTCAGAATGTGACTTTTCATTTTCAGATGTTGTGAACCGGAATTCTGCATGATTTTTATGGAAATGACTATACTTTTAAAATGTAAAACTTTTAATAAAACAAAACAAACTTAAAGCCCTCAAACCTTTTCTTGGTAGTCCTCATGCCCCCCTGTGATTCTTAAGTATACATTAACTAGTTTCAGATGTGTTTTGTTCGCTGACTCAAAATCATCCCTTTATTTTAAGAAAAGAAATTGTGTAATTAGTACTTAATTGCTTTGGATATTTTGGGTATTTAGAGAAGAGGGTAATTCAAAGGCCAGAGAAATTAAACCTTCAGAATGTTCTTTATGCATGTGTAATTTCTTTTTAAAAAATGCCCTCTAAAGACAGGCCTGACAACTTCAAAATAAACGAAGACCTGGGTTGTTTTTGAAAATTAACATCATCTTTGGATGTGGTTTTATTGAGTTATTTAAGATAAATTGGAGAGAGGACCATTGAAGTGCTAGAAAACAAGATACTGTCTCATTCATCTCCTTTTCAGGCAGGTGTTGTCTAAATAGCTCGCAGATGGCAGTCTTCCTTTCTTACATTTCAGGATCTTCCAAGACAGAAATAAATCTTTCCCCACCTTAAAAATATTACATTTGATCAAATTTAAATATCTGCATAATTAGGAATGGTATGTGGTCTGCTGGGACCAATTGCAACTTGGTTGACATGGGCACTTACCATGTATCTATCTGCAGTGATTTGAGAGGGCTTGGTCTTGTTTGCTCATTTAACTTCTCTCTAGGCCAGTTGTATTGTGTGTAAATTGAAATGTTGGACTAGTAATCTCTACAATTTTACTAGTTCAGAAATGTTTTGGAGGCACCCATTATCTAAAAATCTGTGTTTTGTGAATCTGAAGGTTAACAGGTCTGCTTTTAAGTGATAATATTCCTATATTAATTTGGATAGTGAACACTTGAACTATGACATTAATGAACTTAATGGTTATGAAATATATTGGGTTTTTAAATATATACCTTAAACCAGAAGACCCTTACTTTGTATCTAGTACAGTCACTAAGACATATATGCAGGATTTGAAGATTGGTTTGATATTGATTCCCAACCATTTGGGGAAGTCATACTAAAAGTACTGTTTCATATTATTGCCATTACCTTTTTTTCATTCTAACTAATATTATTTTTACTTTGTTCTTAATCTTTATCACTTTTTTCTTGAAGAAAATATCTTATATTACTGTTGAAGAAACAGTATGTATTACTTAAACATCTAGTTTCCACTTAGAAAATTCAAAGAATCATAAGTAACTACTTGGCTCAAATATATGCTGTTTTATAAGAGCCTGCATGAAATGTGTGATTCTCAAGGAAAACATAAATTGTAAAACTGAGTGTAAAAGATATATATATATATATATATATATCTCAACAGATCAATAGCCAAAGAAAAAAGAGTTGCCCACCCAACAATGGCACCAGGCACAGATTGGGTTTTGTGGGGGAATTCTACTAAAATAATAAGGAGTGGATAGGTCCAGTGTTATTTAAAATACTTGAGGCCAGGCATGGTGGCTCACGCCTGTAATCCCACCACTTTGGGAGGCCGAGGCAGGCAGATTATTTGAGGTCAGGAATTTAAGACCGGCTTGGCCAACATGGAGGAACCTCATCTCTACTAAAAATACAAAAATTAGCCAGGCATAGTAGCATGCACCTGTAATCCCAGCTACTTGGAAGGCTGAGGCAGAAGAATCACTTGAACCCAGGAGACGAAGGTTGCAGTGAGCCAAGATTGTGCCACTGTACTCCGACACAGGTGACAGAGCAAGACTTCATCTCAAAAAAAAAAAAAAAAAACAAAAAAAACTTGATGTCGAAGAAAAATTTTCCCATCAGTATTAAGGAAAGAGATGCTGTCTTTTTTACACAATTGAGATGAACCTCAGATGAACATGTAGCACAGATAGTTGGGACCCAGGATGAAAGAGAACAGTGAGAGTTATCCAATAAAACCTTGAACTTGGAGCCTAGTTGGTGCCTTTGTGCCTCGTTGATATGTAGGGAATTAAATTAAGAAAGGAAATTATTGTCTATCCAGATAGGATTTGTAAAGACATGGATACTGGTAAACATGCACTTGTATTTTACTCATTCGTCTTTTGGGGGCATTAAGTGTCCTGGGGCCTAAAACAGGTGAACAAGGCCACCCATTTCAAAATGCTGCTTCCTACCCTGGTACCATCATTTTGTCTGAACTTTGCCAAGTTGTTACTTCGTCCTTTCTTAGATTTAGGATGAAGGAAGCAAGCCAAAGGTTGAAACAGAGGAGCTAGGGCAGTGAGAGTTTAGTAAATAAATTAAAGGAAGAAGATGCCCAATACATAGTATTTTAGATGTTTGGGATAACCTCTTTACTATTAAAAAAAAAAAAAAAAAAAATGGAAGTCTGATATTACCAATGGTGACACAGAGTTCCAGATGCTATCCTTTGGCTACAATAATTATTGAATCAGCTTCATGTTGAGAGAGAAAGAGTGAGAGGGAAGGAGAGAGACAGGGGTGTGTGTATGTGAGAGAGAGAAAGGGACAGAGCGAGCCAGTTGTAGTTTGTTGAAGTTCACCACAAAAAGATGGGAAGGATGCCTAGCCACACTTGATGTTTTGTGTTTCGGTTTTGGGGTTCGGGATTGTTAATTTTCATATTAAGTCAGTCATGCAGTTTAAATTGTAGATATCATGTTAGCAATTTTGGTGCAGTGAACAGGAGTGCAGCATCTGTCTTTTAAAGGGATTTTTTTGTGTATGTGCATTTAGATTGCTTGGTGACCTTTGAAATTTTGTTTTGCACTATTATCAGAAACATAATCATTTTTCTTTCTGAAACAGATTTTAACATCTGCAAAGGTTGATGAAACTAGGAGAGTTTTAATGAAATCTTAATCTATCTTTTTTAATGTCACCATTGCTTTTAAAACTGTTCATCAGCTACCGGAAACATCAGCTCAAGGCACTGGAGTTGATTTTAATAAATGCCTTTTCTATTAAATATTCTCATTGTTGTCAGAGTATAGTTACAGAACAGAAACTTGTCCAGTCTTGTTCATCTACAGCTCACTTTCCAAATTCTCTTGTTTTTAAAGTCATATTATTTCAATCTGTATTTCATTATCTCAATAGTTAACTTGAGATTTTTTATATTTCAAGGAGGGGAGATTGTTCTGAATACTGGCACCAATCCTTCAAAATCTAGACAGTTTAAGGATATTGACTTTTAACAAAATTTAACTTAAATGTCTACTTTAAATATGTGTCTTGTCATTAAAACGTTATTTACATTTAAAATGCTGACCTTTCAAGATGTGCACAAGAGTGTTCTAAAACAGAGTTTCTGAACATTGGCCATGAAACCACTGTCTTGGGCTGACAAATGGATTGGAAATAAGCTACCCAACACTGGGAATGGACCATTAATTTTAATCAAAGGTGATGCAGGAAGGCGAATGGGATGCATGACAATGTCAACAGCCCAGTAGGTGTTAAGAGACCACACAGCCTTCCTTGTTACTTGGTCGGGCCATTAGTTGAGGTTGGGTGAAGACAGAAAGCCATGTCTGGAATTGAATGACCAGGTCACTCCAAAATCTAATGGAGAACTCCCCATTTCAGAAATCACATTGTAATGCCATTAGAAGTCAAGGACAGCATTTAGAAAATATTGGTGGAAATTTTTTTTTTTTTTTTTTTTTTTTTTAAAACAGTCACCTTTCTGGTTTTTCCCAACTTTGTCAAGCTTCCTGTTTTCCTGCCTTCTTTCCTTCTGAATAGATCATTGATATTTACAGGGGAACAAGAAATCGAACTGACTTAGGAAAAAAAATTCCAAAGCCTGTTTGCTTTTCAGAATTACATACTGTTATAAAACTCAGGTAAATGCCAGCAACAATAGCGTACCAAAGGAATTGAGCAGGATAACTAATTCTTTATGGTGATCTCATGGTCCTTGTCTCTTTCTTGTGCGGGGGAATAGTTTCACTAATTGAAACTAAACTTTTGTAACTGCTTTATTGAAAGCATTTTTTCATAATTGTAGAGGCCACTGTGCTTGGCCCTTTTCTATAAATTGTCAATACTAGCTGATAACATCTGTAATTTTCACAGCAGTGAAAGCCTTTATTTTAAATCAGTAAGTATATTGCTTTATTTTGAGTACTTTCAATTACAAAAAAGGTAGTATATGACAGCTTGAATTCGTGATGTTTATAATAACAAAAAATGCAGAAAAAATAATGAAAGAAGCATATCTGAAGCATATTTACGCTTCAGGGTTGTTAAGAAAGTTCATTTATTCTGACACAGCACTGCATTGCATAAGAAAGATCTGGATGATTACAGTAGTAGTTTTTATACATATTTAAGAAATAAAAACAAATATATTCCTATCTTGTTAACTGAATAGTGTTGTAAGTAAATAGCATTTGTTCTTCCTGTAGATGAAGATCAGCTCCGTGCAAAGGGTTATGACAAAACACCAGACTTTATTTTACAAGTACCAGTTGGTAAGTTCTTCAACTCTGTTATGCATTTGTTTTTAGAAAAAAGAGATGTATTTTTTAATGTCTTTACGTTAATATTAGCTTTATAATATTAAAAATGGGTATAATATTAATAATTGGAAAATATTATTTTTAAATGGCAGAAAAGAATAGGTTCAGAAGAAATCTGTCTTAAAAATCTTTTGCGTATATTATAAACATGTTTTCTAAAGATATTTTGGTTGTCATTTTCAACTTATTTCTCTAAATTTCCAATTCCTTAAACATAGATCTGTTGAGAAGCCAGACTCATTTTGGTCTGCTTGGCATGTCACTTGTCGAGTTATACAGGCAGTCTGAGAACTAGGAAAGGGAGTTTTGAAGAATATAATGAAAATCAAAGGAATATGATTGTCACATAAATGTTCTTTGTAATGAACATATACAGTGTGTTGTTTTGTAATTACATTTATAAATGATGGTAAGAGCTAAGCCCGTGCTCATTAATGTGAAGCTTAGAGAGGCCTGTGCAGAGTTGAGAATTTTCAATCTTCCCTTCCCTTCTCCATATATTAGTAATGCTTTGTCCCTTAGCTGTAGAAGGGCACATAATTCACTGGATTGAAAGCAAAGCCTCATTTGGTGATGAATGTAGCCACCACGCCTACCTGCATGACCAGTTCTGGAGCTACTGGAATAGGTAAGGTCTCATTATTTTTCTTTTAAGATAAACGATACTCAGCTGAAATCTCATTAGAAAAAAATATTTTGTTTAGCTGGTAAAAATGCTAGTAGCCTTTGTTTCTAGTAAATACAGAGTTTTGATTAATGTATTCATTTCAGATAATTTAAACTTCTCCGCTTTCACAATGTTGCTTCATTTTTTAAAACTAAAAATCTCTGCATAAGGTCAAAATTAGTATATATTCCATTTTTCATTCATTTTACAATAATATTGGTGTCACTTAAAATGCAGATAATAAGACGTGGTATATATTACAATATTGACACTGAACTTTTATCCTTTTGATGTGAAATTTATGCTTACTGTCAGACCTTAAAATAATTTATCATCAGCTCTCTGAGAAAAGTATCCAAACGATATGAAAGATGGAAATGATATACCTTCCAAGAATAGAGAGTAGTTTACCTACCAACTCATATTAACATTTCCGAAGACATGGAAATCCCAGCATTAAGAAAGGAGTGGGAGGGTCTTATTTTACTGATTATCTACCTTATGCCCGTGAAGTTACTTTTATTCCCATTTTACAGATAATTAAACTGATACTCAGAGAAAATGATGTGCTGTAGTGCTAGTTATCATGGATCTGCTTTTATCTCTGACTCCCAAATCTGTGTGATTTCTAGTACAACACTATTGTCATTTACAATGCACCCATCCAAACTTTGGCTTTTTCTATTATTGCCATCCCAAGTGTTCACACTACACATTTTTTCCCCCTTAGAACAGGAATGGCGGCCAACAGTAAGACTACAATAATAAAATGACATTGACTCAGATCCTTAAGGAATGAGACAGTAGCATCCGTGGGTAATAGCCTTGTCCTAGGGTAAAAACAGTGACCAGCTACAGAATTTGGCATGATATTGTTACTCAGTTTTACAAAAGGCCAGTGGACCTCGCCTGTGGCAGCTGTGCTAACCTAAGCCCACTTTTTGCCATGGTAACCATGATCATGACAAAATGCTGAATGTAATGGCTTTCTTGATTTTCTTGTGTAATTGTGCGTGGCCTCCGAGCTTTACTTTACAGGGATGGAGGAGGAAAGTGCAGAATGTTTGAGAAATCAATGCTGGTTCAGCGTTTCCTGTCTTTTATTCAGCCATTATTCAAATTAGCAGTAATGTGGCAAATTGAATTTTAGATTTTTAGCAATTTTTTGATGAGTTTGAAATAGTAAAGAAAGCATCATTTTTGGTAGTGCAAGGAAAGCAATGACAAGAAAATCAAATTGCGTAAGTTTAGGCTGCTAAAGTATTAAAAAAAGAAAACTGATAAGCTCAATCAGTAGGCAGGTAGACTGTTTCCCCAGCTTTGGTACTGGTCATATCTTTTCTAAGGAACAATTGCAAACTAAATCCCAAATACTAGAGCTTACTTCAAAATTCCAAATTATTATGTTTATTCTAAAGCAACTCAATTATTTATTGAGTACCTACTGTGTATTTAACATTCACCATTTAGAGGCTGATTAAATAATCTAGTCACCTGGATGATAGATTTACGGACTATTGACATGCCTGGAGGATGTCTGAGTGATAGATAATTTAATACAATTTCCTTTGGATTTTATATTACTTTGTTGCATTCTACTTTTTCCCTTCTGGTGATGTTTTACTTAGACTACTATTGATTTACATTCCCTGAGCACATTGTTTGAATATATACTGGCTAAGTGAGCATAATTCATTTTGGGCACGATGTGTGTGATATGGGAATGCTCGCCTTGGTTTTAAATGGTCCAGATCATTTAAGGAGTAAATGTCACAAAAGTCACTGATGTTACCAAATGTCTGCAGAGAGGCCAAGAAATGCAAGTTCAAAAAGGAACATTTAGTGCCCAGGTTTAAAATGGAACTTTGGGGCATTTACTTGTATATAAAATTTGTAATATATAATAATGATATAAGCTTACTGGTGATGGAGTATTTTGACAGAAGGAGAACTTACCCCATTTGTGAATGTATGGGATCCTCCTCTTCTCATATTTTGCCTCAACACAACTCATATATGTGAGCAATTGCTAAAGTTCTTCAGCATATAACTATAGCAGATTCTAAAGTTCTTTAGAATTGGAAGAAATTCTCTCTCACCTGTAGGTAGCCTTTCAAGGAGGCTATTGGTTAGAATTTGGGCTTTTTGCTTTACTCAAGTGATAAGCGGCTAGTTTATATAAAAACTAATATTACCTAATTGTCACACTATTTTCAGATTAAAGATTGGATTTTACAATAAGACTGTTCAATTACTTTTTATAGACTAACGCTTTTTTTTTTTTTGAGACAGAGACTTACTCTGTCACCCAGGCTGGAGTGCAGTGGCGCAATCTCAGCTCACTGAAATCTTCACCTCCCGGGTTCAAGCGATTCTCCTGCCTCAGCTTCCCAAGTAGCTGGGATTACAGGTGCCCGCCACCACGCCCAGCTAATTTTTGTATTTTTAGTAGAGATGGGGTTTCACCATGTTGGCCAGGCTGGTCTCGAACTCCTGACCTCATGATCCACCTGCCTTGGCCTCCCAAAGTGGTGGGATCACAGGCGTGAGCCACTGCGCCCGGCCTAGACTAATGCTTTTGTGTAAATTCATTTCCCATGCAAATAACTACAGAGCCACCAATTTTTAGATTAACATTTCTGTAAGAGTTTTCTTTTGTAGTAAATTGATATTCTTACTCAGCTTAACTAACGTTGAAAACATTTAAATTTTACAATGTAGTCATCTTCCCCAGAGTCAGAGCTATTGAGTAAAGAACATAAGCAGCCATTCCTACAAGCACATCCCCATCTCAAGTCCCAGGTATGAACCTTGGTTAAACAACTACTCAAAACTCTCTACTTCTACAGAGTTAAAGTAGACAATGCCTCTGAGAAGCATTTGGACCATAAATATAGGCCCAAATTGTATAAGGCTACCAGAAAATACATTTACTTATGAAATCAACACACAAAAAGTCTTCTTATCCTATTTCTCTAATCAAAAGGTGAGTTCTTTGACAATTTGGCCTCTATTACTAAGTATACTTTTATACTGAGAGGATGACTTGTAAAGAGAGAAACCAATACTACCAGTCTAAGATCAGGCTACATATATGTTCTCTAACATGTGGCCTTTCAAAGAGGCAGGGACAGACACCTTGTCCTCACTTTTGGTGGGTCAGTTTGAATGAAAATATTGAGTGACCTTAATGACAGAGAAAGGGCCATATGCTATAAAGCACACGAACAGTTACCAACAACCACTGATCAAGAACATGCAAATTGCAACTGCAAGTTTCAACCCCTCCATCTGCCATTCCACTCACATTCTGGCACGCTCTCATTAGAGACATCTCTTTACAACCAAAGTGCACTTTGTTGATATACCTCTCTGCTTCTCTCAAAGAAAATCTAAGCTTCTTGGCTGGAACAAATGGGGTAAAATTTGGTTTTTCAATTTAGTGATCCTTGAAGTAATGGGAGGAATATTGGGTTTGAATCCAGAGTATGCCACTTTCTGGTCCCATGACTGGGAACAATTTACTGTATTTTCTCCTCAATAAAATGGACTGAATAAAACTTTTTTTGCCCTCTTACTCTGAAGATCAATTATTTAATATATACAAAGCACTTACACAGTGCCTGGCAGTCAAAAAAATATTAGTTCCCCTCTGTCTCTTTTTCTGTATGCCACTGATGAAGTTTAGAAGTCTTCCGATTAGACATTTTTAATTGCCTTCTTTGCCACATAAACTAGTCAGCTAATTTCAGCACTCAGCTTGGCTGACATCTCTTTGAGAAACCTTCCTGCATTCCAGGATTGGGTTTGGTGCGCCTCCCGTGTTTTGCTAATAATTTCATAACATCTATCAAACATTGTCATTGCTTGCTTATTTGTCAACCTCCTCCAATTAATATTGAGTTCCATCTTATCTACTGGTTTTATCCATCTTTGGTTGCCCAGAATCTGGCACATAGTAGGTGATAGTAGATACTTATTGATTGTATTTACTGATGTCTGACGACAATAATGGTTTGAATCAGCCTTTGAGGAATTTGTCAGGCATTGTGACATTAAGCCATGATATAATCAAATTTTTTTCTTTGAGAATTCAACTCGAAGGATAGTGAGGAAAATGCCTAATTTTTCTGAAACACTTTTACAGACTTTTCAAATGTATAGGCTTTTGCAGTCCTGTTTCATGAAATAGAGCATAAATGTATTTAACATAAGGAATTTTAAAAATAGAAAATAACTGAGAACTAAATGACAAATTCACTTTATAAAGGTTTTTAGATATTTATAATCTTATGTTGGTCAGTTGCTTTCCCAAAACTTCAGAGAGTTCTCTCATTTGAAATTTGACATAGAATACCTTGAGAATTCTAAGCAGAGGATAATCTCTAGTTTCTTTAAGGGCTGCATGAAACTGGGCCTGGAGCAAGAGTACAAATGGAGCCTTATATACTATGTGTCTAAATATGTAAAGTTACATATTAAATTAACAGACCTTAAATAAAATATATTCTATTCTGCGTGAGGAGCTGAAAGTTCAGATTTGCATAAGAATTCCTAGATTCCTTGGATTTGCAGGCTACGTGTGTCAGTGCAGGGAGCGGTGGTCCCACTGCACAGCCCGCCTTCCTTTTCTTCCCACCCTCAGCTCCATCCTACACCTGGAAAGGTGTCAAGCACACACCAGGTCTGCATACCCAAGCTCCATGTATATTCCCATAATATACATGGAGTTGCACACTCTGGAAGTCTGCCCTCTTATCAGGTGAATGAACCTGAGAGAAAGGGCCATCCAGGCCCTGGGAGTGGTCTTGGGGCTATAAGATCAGGAAGTTCTGAGGTCACTGATACCTGGAAGGTGGCCTAGAAAGTGGTTGAGGGAAAAGGCATCAGGTGGGGATGTTCCCTTGGCCCCATAAACTCCTTACTCCATGGATTCAGATACAACTAGACAGTGGCTAGAG